CAGCAGCACCAGCAGCCCCAGCCAGCCCTGCGACAGACAGAGGGTCAGAGACGGGGACCCTGCACCCCCAGCGCCCGCCCCTGACACGGGGACACGCCACACACCTCCCCTCCCCACCCTCCCCAGGGTCCCTTGGGGTGAACACACTGCCCCCTCCCCAGCCCCGCAGGGCTCTGACACACGGGACATCAGCACGTGGGAGCACCCGCACCCCTAAAGCGTGAGCAGCACCCACACATTCACTGGCACCCACAGAGACTGTGCACACACCTCTACACAGCCCTGGAGATACAGAGTGTGTGTGTGTGCAGGCACACACGTACACGCACAGAGAACACCTGTACATACACACATCTACATGTATACACACATATGTGTGAGTGTGTATATATGTGTATATGTATATGTATATACACACACACGGAGTACTGTGCACACGTGTTTACACACTCACCCCTAGAGATACAGCACAGAGAATACCTGTACATACACACGTATGTGTATATACACACGTGTGTGTATATATACACACATGCACACACACAAGAGTACTGACACACATCTAAACACTCACCCCAAATACAGTGTGTGTGTGTGTGTACTCATGCACACACACAGTACCAGCACTCTTGTACATGTGCAGAGAACACCTGTACATACACACAACTACACACACATATATATTTTTATATATATATTGGTATATGTTTTTATATTTATATATATATATTTAAGTATTTATATGTATTTATACATACACATCTACATACAGAGAGAGCCAGCACGTGTAGCTGTGCACAGACACACACACACTATCAGCACAGGCACCTGGAGTACCAACCCATGTGTACATACACACGTACACACATAAACCAGCACATGTGCAGAACACACTGATTAGTACACGTGCAGGTGTGTAGGCACAGGCACATATATACACACACACACACCTCACAGTGCCCTTCCCTGCACATACACACACGCACAGGCACGTCTGTACACACGCAGGGGCACAGAGCTACCAGTCTGTGTTCATCTGTGCACCCACACAGAGGCAGACCAGGACATACGTGTATGTGCACACACACACACACACACAGACATGCACTACCAGCACTCAGTACCCTCTGTGTGCACACACCAGACAGACAGACACACAAACCACCAGCACCTGTGCAGAGCTCTGCACTTACAACACTGACCAGCCCTTATATGTGGAGACCATGATACACACTCTCACACACACACACGTGTAAACCCGTCCCCCCAGCACGCTTGTGCCCACGTGCACTGCCAGCCTGACATGTACAGGCACACACAGCACCAGCACGTCCATCCATCCACACACAGCAGCCCTCTCAGTGCCACCTCCTTCCCCAGCCAGGGAATCCCTGCACACACACACACACACACACACACACACACACACACACACACACACACACACACACACACACACACAGAGGCACAAGTTTGAGCACAGCCCTTGACACACACGTGCCGTGTAACTTCCCCCTTCCCATGCAAGTAAGTGCTCACAGACACACACACACACACTCTCACCCCATCCAGAGCTCCCACCCCCCCCAGACCCGGTGTTACCATCCGTGGGGCTTCACGAGAGCACAGCAAGGTGACAGGGGACACTTTCCCCAGCGGCTTCCCCAGGGATGGCAGGAGGCCGAGTGTGGCAGCTCCTCCGCCGCCGCCGCCTTTATATAGAGCCGGGGCAGGTGATGTGCACACACACCTGGAAACTCCAGCTCCCGACTGCCTTTCCTCCTCCCCGCCGTGACTTCCTTCTCAACTCCACCGTGATTCCAGCCCGGAAATCCACTTCTCGACGCTTTTAAAATTGGGAAGGTGGATGGGGAGTGTGTGTGTGTGTGTGTAGATATGAAGGGTGTCAACCAGTTTGGTTGTGCTGACAGGCACTGGGCACGGTGGGATTGCGTGGTCCAGGTGACGGGGAGGCTGGGGAGCCTATGGACAGGTGCCATCCCATGGGATGCCCTGGGTGCTTGCCCACTGGCCCCCCAGCCCTACATACCCCCCCCATAACCCCCCCCAACCCACCACGGGGATGCCACCCAGGTGCCCCACGCCGTGATCCCAGCCCTGACCCTGTTGCGTCAGCCCCACCGGTGATATCACCGGCATCACGTTCCGCCGGGGCAGAAATCCCAAACTGGGCAACCCTGGAAAGAAAAAAAAAAAAAAAAAAGTTGAAGGGCTGCATCCAACCCCCCCTTCTGATGCTCCCCAAACCAGCACCCAGGGATGTCCCGGCCGCGTGAAGGTTCAAAGGCAGGATGAAGGTGCTGAGCAGAGAGGGGAGGAGGTGGCGGGACCAGATGAGCTGGTTCGTGGACAAGCAGTTTTTTTTTCTCCCTTCTCTGCTCCCTGTCCCACGTGGACTTTCCCAGACTTCCACAAGCCCCCTTGCATCCCATCCTGCTGCAGATCCGGGCTGGGGATCCCTGGCATTCCCTGCTCCCCCCCAGCCCAAGGGGTTTGCCAGGAGCCACAGCACCCTCTGTGCCACACTGCACCACGGGCTCAGCACCTTTGGCCTGCAGGGAAAGGATTTGGGGTCCCTGTCCCCAGGGCAGCCCAGTGGTCCCAGTACCACCATACTGGGGGAAGTGTTGCACAGCCACAGGCACAGCAGCAGCTTGGTCTCCTACCAGAGGGACAGGATTTGTACCTATTTTGGCAGTGACTTTATGGGGGCAGGGACAAGGCAGGCAGAGCTGCCAGTGAGGGGAGCAGGGACCCCACAAATCACCCCCTGAAGGTCTGGATGAGACCAGCAGCACCCTCAGATTGTGCAGATGAAGCCAGCACCCTCTACTCCCAGCCACCATTTCACACCAGTGGGATACTGGTTTAATATTGGGTGCAGAAGTGGAGGTCCCACAGCTCTGGGGAGACAGAGGAGGTGGGGGACACTGGTACCTGCAGTGAGGGGCTGCAATGCTCCCCCAAGAGATGCTGCAGCTCTTCCAGCTCCAGGCAGCTGCCTGTGCAGGCAGCAGAGTTGGTTCCACCACGGGATCATCAGGAGAGCAGGAATAATAAAAGTACCCAGCCCAAAGATGTGTGTGGGGGGTTTGGGGAAGAGCTCCCCACAAAAGGAAAGGGAAGTGAGGGGCAGGCAGAGAAGAGCAGAGAAAGGAAGAACTGGTTATCAAAATACTTTATTTCAGGGAGGTCCCTCAAAAAAAAAACCAAACAAAAAAAAACAACAAAAAAAGAAACAAAATTAAAAGGAAAAAGGACCCTCCTTATTAGACAGACATCCCCACAACACCTTCAGGGCTCCTTTTTGAAATCAACTAAAAACAATCTGCTGCTTAAAATAAAAGACAGGTCATTTTCCCAATCAGACTTTAGTCAAGAATATATATATATTTTTGTTCCTGGGGTGGGAGGGCAGGGAGGTGATGTTGCCAGTAGTTCACAGCAGTTTTCGGCTCTCTCGTTACACAGTATCTAGAAACTGCATCGCTGGAGACACTCAACACACAGCAGGGCTAACTAGGAGAATACAACTCAAGGCGAGCAAAGAGGAGAGAGGGCAGAGAGAAAGAAGAGGAGCAGTGAGAGCATCCGACAGGGCTGGAGTCCTCTGTGCAGAATTTACATGGAACCAGGGAGGGGGGCAGAGCCCGGGGCTGGCCCCTCAGGAGCCAGAGCAGGTCCTGCCAGCTGCCTCAGCTGACCAAACTTCCCAGATTCTGGTTGTTATTATTATTAATCTTTTTTCCTGCGTGTTTTTTTTTATTGTGTGTGTGGTTTTGGGTTTGTTTTTTTTTTTGTTCCATTTTGTTTTGCTTGTTTTTTAAAAAGAACCGCAGCCGAAATAAGACAGAACTGCAAAATCCCAAAGGGGCTGCTTTTACACTATTATAAAAACACCAAGAGTCACGCAGGGCAGGCCAGAGCAGGTCCTGCCAGCTGCCTCAGCTGACCAAACTTCCCAGATTCTGGTTATTATTATTATTAATCTTTTTTCCTGCGTGTTTTTTTTTATTGTGTGTGTGGTTTTGGGTTTGTTTTTTTTTTTTGTTCCATTTTGTTTTGCTTGTTTTTTAAAAAGAACCGCAGCCGAAATAAGACAGAACTGCAAAATCCCAAAGGGGCTGCTTTTACACTATTTATAAAAACACCAAGAGTCACGCAGGGCAGGGCGGGGGCTCCACGCCCTCCCCACTATACTTTTCCCGGGATCTTGGCCCTCTTGCGAGCGATGGCATCTTCCACTGCCTTCAGCTGCTTCAGGAGCTCCTCCCGGCGGGACAGGGTGCTGGACTTGCCCGCCTTGGCACCCGCGGCGCCCGGCTCGGCCGCTTTGCCCGGCACGCTCGTGACTTTGCTGGAGCTCTTGGACTGAGGGGAGAGCTGGCGCTTCCTGGTGGGGAGAGACAGGAGGAGGGTGGTGAGAGGCTGTTCAACATCACAACAAACCCATTCTGCTGGAAAAAGGCCTTCTGAGAACGGGCAGCAGATCCCTGGGGATGCACAGGACCTTGCGGAGACACCGGCGTGACCCAAACCACCCCGAGCAGATGGAAACAAGACACAGACCAATGGTGTGGCTGTCCCAGAGAACCTCAACGTGTCCTTAACCACCCCCGTGCTTGGGCACTGGGCAGGTCGGACCCACCGTGTGACACTGCCAACCCAAACAGCAGAAGAGGATCAAGAATGAAGGATGTGGTCAACACCAGTCTGAAAAGGCTGAGGTTGCTCTACACTGCTAGAAGACAGGACCTCAGGGCCTGAAGAGGACAAGGCTCTGGCAACCAGGGCTAGGTTTTGGTTTCAGAAGGTTCTGATCCATGGAAATTGAGACCTGCTCAGACCTGCTGGGAACAGGGGATGACACAGGTCCTGCTGGCTGAGGGATGCAGGACAGGGCTGTGTCTGTCTGCTCAGAGATCCTTAGACATGATACCAGAGACATGGCCAGCAGCACTGGCTGGCTGCAGGCAAGGAGGACCAAGGAAGCTGTAGGTGTTCCCCAGAAGGAGCTCCACAATCCTTTAGCCAAAGGGCTCCAAGCACAGGCAGCCCAAGGCCCCTGGAGCCACACATCCTGTTCTGCAGTGGGATATTTCAGGCAGAGCTGCAGGTACAGACTAGCAAGAAATGGGATGTGAGCTGGTCACCTGTCACCAGAGGGGACGGAGAAGCACAAAGGCAGGGCTAGTCACCATTCAGGGGCACACTTTAACATCTCAAGGCAGCCAAGTGAGCAGCTGAGGGTGTGCCAGGCTATGAAGAAAGGGAACTGGGGACAGGAGGAGCAGGACAAGGAGCTGTGCTTCCTTGCTCCTTGGCACGACGCGGCACCAGCGAGAGGCAGAGGTGCTGGCACCACTGAGCTTGCACCTAACCCAGTTGGCTCCTCTTGCTGGGATTGACCTCCAGAAAACCCCCAGGCTCCTGCTCGTTCCTGAGCTGGAACGGCTCAGCCAGTGGCTTCCGTGTGAACCCCTGAGCACCTCTGGCTCCTGCCCAGGAATCTGTGCGTCCTTCCTCACCCTCTGCCTCCATGGCAACTGCAAACTATGGCCAGAGAGCCTCAGAGCTGCCCCAAGAGGAGAGACTGAACCACTGGAGAAGCATGAGCCCCAGCCTGGCCCAGAAGAGACCCAGGAGAAGGAGCAAGCACTGACCTGTCTGCCTGTGCAGGGGAAGGTTTCAGGTTCTGGCCCCTCTGTCGCTCCTGCTTGGGTGAGGAGAGTCTCCCGGTCGCCTTCCTGTCGCGGGCACCTGTTGGGAATTGAAAAGGTGAGATGTTCTCCCTGGTCACAAAGGTACTGGTCTTGCCACCCTGCCTGCAGTGTCAGGATGCTGCAGATCATGCCACCAAAAGTCCAAGCAGCCAGGAGAGGAACCTACTGTTGTGCACCCCCATCCTCAGGGGGAGCAGCAGAGCTAGCCAAGGCTGCACCCACAGTCAGTGGAACAGAACATGGCCTGGAGGAGATGCCCTGGCCCTCTTCTCACCCTGTGGCTGCTGGAACAAGGCTTCTCCATCACACTTTTAGGCCTGCAATGCTGCAGGGCAGAACCGGCTCTCAGGGACTACCTCAGTGCTCCATGATTCCCAGCCAGTTTATGCACAACAGGCACAGCAGCACCTGAGCTGGCCAGACAACCAGGTGTTCCTGCTCAAAGGATACTGGGTGACTGCAGCTCTGCTACTTTCCAAGCCACCTGGGGTCAATCCATGGGCAACGTCTCCCTTGCATTTGTCCAGCAGGAACTGAACCCACATGCCCTAAGCAGAGCTGCTCTGGGGTCTTGCTGGAAGGGGGAAGGCCACTGGGATCCTGCAGCAGCATCATCCTGCTTTGCTGCAGTGGGTTTCCCAGCTTCTGCTACCCCAGCACATGGAGAGGCAACTATAACTGCAGAACCCATCACAGCAAGGTCACAGAATGGGGAAGAGAGACTTAGGACACAAAACTCCACCAGCTTTGTGCTGGGACACGGGGAAACAGGCAGCATGCTGGAGGGTTCCTCTTGCTCAGTCTCAGTTCAATCAAGGATATGTTTGCCTCTGGGAGGTGAGGCTGAGCTGCCTCCAGGGCTTGTGCCCCATTTGCTACTGCTTAAAAATGCTTTATAATGTACAGAAAACAAATAAAGTATACAATTACATCTGTGTATCTATAAAATCAGCACAGTTTGCTAGGCCAGCCCATTCATTTCTCTGCAGCTCAGCAGCAGTTGTGAACTAGATCCCAGTGACCTTCAACCTCACCCAGCCCCTTCCATGCTGCCTTTGCAGGAGTTGAATGCAACCAGGCTATTAGCACAGACATTTTTCTTTCTGGCTGGCACCCAGAGTCAACAAGATACACCTACAGCCCAGACAACATGGGGAAAACAACATCACGTGTCCATACCGGCTTGTACGTCAAAACCAGGCACCTCTGGCTGCTGACTCCCCACACTTTGTTTCTCAGCAGAGGCTGGAGTGTGGCATTTAGGTCCCTCTCCACGTGGCCTGTTCGCTCTGTTTTCTGAGGTGCTCAGACTGCTGCTGAGGATTGGGGCAGAGAGCACTTGGAAAAGCTCATGTCCTTCTAAACATCGGGGCGGATCTGATTGTGTCACAGGCAAGTGGGGAAATAGTCTCATTTCACAGGATGGGTGATCCAGCCAATTATTGCATCCATTCCAACCCGTGTGCCCTTTCCAAGCACTGCCACCAGCCTGCCTGTCAGGAGTGATCCATTGAAATGCAAGGCAGGGAAGACCTTGTGGTAGTGAGGGAAAACCCTATGACTTCTACAGCCACATCCAACATGACTAGAGAACAGGAGGCCACTGCACCCACAGAGACAAGCACGCTGTGTCTTCCAAGTGAGAGCTGCTGTGGGGTTTGTTTTGCAGTGCCTTACACAGACATGGCGGAGCCGAGGCACTCGCAACGCGCTCCACAAGACAGCTGGGCAAGGACCTCACCTCGCTTACTTCACACACCAGTGTCTCACCTCCACTGTGTTTTTTTGCAGCAGGACAGCTAATAATGCTGCCTTATCTGCTGGCAATCGCACACGCTGAGGTTTTGGAAGGACACATGCCTGCAATTAACCTCTGCCATGAGTGGACTCTTGCAGCAGAGACTTTCCCGGGACATTTGTCACTGGAGAACCACCTCGAGCAGCAGAGCAGGAAGCCAGCCAGGCCAGGAGCCCCTGGGATGGCTGATGTCTCACCTCTGTCAGGAGACAGGTTGGCCCGTTTGGTTGGAGGAGAGGTCGGCCTGTCTTTGTCTGCTGGCTCATATCTCTTCCTGCTTCCTTTGTCAGCTGCCTGAAATGGAATTACAACAGACAACGGAGCTGAGCGGCCACTTCCCTCTCTGGGGGGGGAAGCAGGCAGAGATATTTCCTGTGATGGGTGCCCGTGAGACTCTGGCTCACTCATACCAGCACAGCTCCCATTAAACTCTTTGTGCATACCTGTCCCAGCCATCACCAGCACCATGTAATTCCCCTACCACCGAGGGCAAACAGCAACATCCTGCACCGTGTTCCATGGCTGTTTTCATATTGGCCAGAAGCAGGAAAAACCCCAGCATTTTGTAGAGAGTTTTGTGTTTGTTTTTTTTTTGTTTGTTTTGTTTTGGCAGCACCAAAGACAGCAAATGTCAGGGAGGCACGTGGAGCTGTGCTTTCCTCCAGAATCCAACCGTGCCAGCCAGTGGTTATGTGTAATTGCACACTCCTCCCCAAGGAACATGCTTCAGGGACCTGATAAAGGCTCCTGACGTCACAGCACAGGGAAGTAGAGAAAACTGTGGCCTCAGACAGCCATGGGGAATTTGGACCATCAGGAAAGAAAACCAAAGGAATGCTTCAAAACCAGGAACCTATACCCATGGGACTGGGATGAACACCTTGCCCTGGCACAAAACCCCATGAGGCCAAACTCTCCCAGAGGAGCTGGATTCCAGCCTCAGCCGAAGGCGCCGAGCGGGGCATCGGGCTGAGCCGTAAGGGGGGACAAACCAGCACCCCTGTGGAAAGCACGGCTGCTGGCGGGCACCCCGGAGAGGGGATGGCCACTTTTACCTCCTGACTCAGGGAATGACTCGTCAGCAGGTCGCCAGGGAGCGGGCAGTGGGAGGAGAGCCGGCTGGGAAGCGTGTGGGGAGCACACTTCCAGGGAGCACGCTTCCCGCGGGCACGGCCCGAGCGCGCGTGGGACTTTGCTGCGCCGGCTGCAGCCTTCGAGAAAGCGGGAAGAGCCCTTGAAGCT